ATTATTGTTATTCAAATGGTTTGCCGCTTCGAAACAGCATTGACGTATCAGGTCGTGGAGTTGAGGGCAGTGCCCTTTGTAGGGCTCGAGGGCAACACCTGACGAGAATCAGGTAGCGAGGGTCGAGGGGGGCGCCCCTCGTGGGGGTTCTGGGGCAAAGCCTCCGAAAGGAAATGTTATTTGAGAACAAAAAAAAAGGAAGATTTGTATCCAAAACCATCGAGAAATTAAAGAAGATTAAACATAGCTAACCTATCTATTCATATAGGTTTCTCAAATTCGAACTTAGCATTTAAAGTTCCAAACCCTCTTGACTGGCACAAGTTTGAAGATTTGGAGTTGAAAGATGCTGGGATCACACTATGAGGCACTTGAACATTTTTTAGTTATAGCTGAAACATGACCTATAAGAAATTCTATTGGCTCTAGAAAAAGAAAACGTTCGATAATGTCTCGTGCGTGCATGTTGGTCTCCGTGTGGCACGGAGACATGGTGGTGTCTCCCCACGAAGACACCAATGCTCAATGTAGCGCAATTCTGTGCTTCCCTCTGTAGAAGTTGAAAATCCTACCTACATAAATTCGTTTAGATAATGAGAAAGATCAATATTTATTGTCAACAATGGATTTTCAGGCTTGAAACTTGAATAGCTCAAGAAAACGTCTAACTTCTTCTTCTCATTCATGTAATCAATCCAAGAGTAATCAAATTTCCACTCTTCAAATTCACACTCTGCAGCATCAGATTGACAGTCTTGATTGAGATAAGGCTATTAATATCTAACCCAACATGATCGTCATCGGGATAATTAAAGTGCAAATATTGCCGTGTATCAAATTCATTTGCAATAAATTTGTTCTTGGTCAATTGCGAAGAATTGACAAGCCCAAGTACCCATATGCATTTCCTAAGTACTCATAAATAATTAGAAGCACATCAGAATAACCCTCAAATTTTCTGGAATCTTATCTGAGCTCACAGAAAATATAGTAGAATGAGAGAGACTTACACGATAAATCCAAAACCCAAAAATAAAATTATCAGAAATCGTGCTTATATTTAAGAAATCAAAAGACAATAGACCAATTGATAACCAATCGAGCCTCTCAACTATGATTTTCCACGTACATAGAGAAAAATGGAAATACCCTAGCATTATAATATATATAAGCAGTACTAGGTAAATCGAAATACAATGTGCGTGTGTGTGTGTGTTAAGCACATATTGTACCGATTAATGACGAGAAGAAGAAGAAATAATAAATCTTAAGCGGTCGGAATGAAGGAGTAAGTATGTATGGTTGATTGAATGGAAAAATGGAGAAAGAGCAAAGATGGGGTGCGCGTGTGGAAATGGAGAAAGCAAAGTGTGTGGGGAAAATGGTGGAAAAAAAAAATTAAATTTTCGTGACGATAGGAAATCGTGACACGTGACGTGCCAATGTTTTGCCTATTTTATTTTGCCCATATTTGTCTACCATTATTTCAAAAAATTGTTTACTACAGTAAGATTTTCCACCAAATATTCACCCAATAAAATATTATACACACA